GACAAACAAGCGAGCAAATAAATAATTGCAGATAATGATATGAGTGCTGTAAAGGAATTAAAGTACAGTGCTGTCACAGAAAGCGACTGAGTAAAAGGAAAGGCGAATTTATGGCGGGGGGGGGGGGCGGGGCCAGGGAGAAGTCACAGGGAGCCTCCCTCAGGTGATGTCACTTGAGTGGTGCCCTAAAGAGTTAGGACATATCTTTGTGACAATCTGAGGGAAGACAATCTTGGGGAAAATAAACAATAAGTGCAAATGCTGCAAGGCAGAAATAGGTTTGATATGTCAGAGATCAGGAGTAGGCTAATCTGTTGGCACCCAATAGGACTGAAAGATGAGTGGAAGGAATGGGCTCCAAAAGGAAAGCAAGTGTCAAATAACACAGGGTCTTAGAGACCATGGAAAAGGGTGTTACTCAGGGGAGTGAGGTGATCTTTTTGGCAATGACATAAATGCCATTTTTTTTAAGTTTATTTATTTATTTTAGTAATCTCTACACCCAAGGTGGGGCTCAAAGTCATGACCCTGAGATCAAGAATGCATGCTCTTTCAGCTGAGCCAGTCAGGGGTCCCTGCATGAGTGCCATTTTTAAAAGATCTCTATGGCTGCTAAAGGTAGACTACAGAAAGGCAAAAAATGGAAGAAAGGAGGTCAGTTACAAGACTTTCTCTGCATTCCAAACAAGAAATGGTGGAGGCTTGGACAAGGGTGAGATTGATGGAGAAAGAATTGACGTATTTGGGATATTTTTCACAGGTAGACCCAACAAGAATTGCTGATAGGTTGGACTGGGCGGAACGAAGAGATGAGGGACATAGAGGAATCAGGTGGCCCCTAGATTTTTGGCCTCCATAATGGAATGGAAACATCACCATTTACTAGAATGAAAAAAAAAGATAACTATTCTTAAGACCATGATGAAAAGAGCCTAGAGAAACCAAGTGACAGCAAGACCCCAACAATTTGTCTGAGATGACACAGCTATTAAGTGGTAGAACTGGCATTCAATCCTAGGTGGTCCATGCCCTACACCTAATGTTCTAAATCTATCTGTTTTACATTGGATGTAAACAGTACTTAAAGACAGTGAACAAAGAGGGAGTTCCTTTTTCCCCCTTCATGCTTGCTGCCCTGTCAACCATTGGTATAAGTTCTGCCTCATCAAGACCCTGGGCCAGTGCTGTCCCCAAACTAACTCCCTCTGATGTTAGAGCTCTGCTCTCTTCTGTCATTGCCCTTTCTTCCTTGCAAGGGTTGTTCTGAGGACTACAGGGTATACACAGAGTACCTAAATAGGTTTTTTGGTTTTCTCTTTTCCCTTCTCCTCTCCCTCCTCTGACCCTTGATGGAATGTTCTCATTGAGGAAATTTTTGTCAACTGAAAAAATGAAGAATCTCTCCAAAAATTTCAATCATTTACTGTTAATTTCTATACCAGATATTTTTTATTACAAATAACATACAGCCTGCAAGTCACCTAGGGTTTCAGTATCTAAGCCATTCTTTCCTAAAGATCTGCCTCTTCTACACTAGCAACCAAAGTTTCAGAACGTTCGCTACCACTGCTCATTCCTTCTATTCATTCTGCATACTCCTCTTAGATGAGCTCAAAGAAACCCATGGTTTCACCTGTCTTCTCTATGCTCACTCCTCCCTGAGCAGCACACCTGTAAAGCCCACTGCTACTGGAGATTTCCACTCTAGTGTCTACCAAGAACTTCGAACACCTATGTACCTTACATTAATGTATCTCCCACACACCTAAGACAACTCTTCCTTTCCCAAGCCCACAATCTGGAATTCATTCTAAATTCCTCCCTTTAACTCACCCATATCTCTCTCACTCAACTACATCCAATCAATGATACTATCTTTTGTTTCTACTTCCACCATGACTCCCTGAGTCAGACTAATATTATCCCTCCTACCTTTACTTCCTTAAGTTATGCACTGTCACACCTGGATTACTGTGAGAGCTTTTAACATAAAAGAAATAATAAAAATTAACAGATAAACAGTACTGAGGAAATATTATTCAGAGCCATGAAAAAGAAGAAATCCTGCCATTTGCAATGACATTGATGGAGCTAGAGAGTATAATGCTGAGCAAAATAAGTCAGAGAAAGACAAATATGATTTTACTCATATTTGGAATTTAAGAAACAAAGTAAAGGATCAAAGGGAAAAAAGAGAGAGAGACAAATCAGACAGATTCTTAACTATGGAGAACAAACTGATGGTTACCAGAGGGGAGGGAGTAGGGAGATGGGTGAAATAGGTGATGGAAATTAAGGAGTACACTTATGAGGAACACAGGGTACTGTATGGAATTGTTGAATCACTATATTGTAGGGGTGCCTGTGTGGCTCAGTCAGTTAAGCCTCCGACTTCGGCTCAGGTCATGATCTCATGGTTCGTGGGTTCGAGCCCTGCGTCTCTCTCTGACCCTCCCCTGCTCATGCTGTCTCCTTCTCTCTCTCAGAAATAAATAAAACATTAAAAAAATTGAATCACTATGATGTACACCTGAAATTGATACAACACTGTATGTTAACTAGCTGTAATTAAAATAAAAACTAAAAATTATTAATCCATTATGAATGTATTTTAAAGGGTAAAATAATGATTTGTTTTTAAAAACTTTAGCTCTGTCAATCCTCACCACTCATTTCCACTTCAATGGAGGCAACTAATTTAATCTCTTTTACCTGTTTCATTATTTACCTTTATGTTTCTAAATAATACTTTGATTTTGCTACTTCTTGGATCTTCCTTTTTAGGTATTGATTTCCCAGTAAAGAAGATAGCATTTTTTTCCTTTTCTTTCCTTTCTTTGTGGGCTATAGATTGAAAAATATTTCTAGTTTTCAAAGAAATTATCAGAGGTGTTATCTCCAGTCTAGATGAATTAGCAAGGTGACCCTAAAAGGGAAAGTACAAACTACTCCTTGGGATGTGAACTACAAAATAAACATGTAATTAATCCCATTACTGTCCAAAACATATGTTGATACAGCTGGATGTGATTAATTTTTTAAGGAAAACGATGAGGGGTGGGGGATTGCCTGGGTGGCTAAAACATTAAAACAAAATTTTTTAAGAAAACAATGAATTGATTTTGATTTCTAAAGAAATAAAAATACGCTGACTTTTTGCTAAAGACTGGTCTTTGGTTGTGAAATTATAAAGTGGTATTTTCCACATTTTAAGCAGTTAGCAACCCAACTGCCATATTTATGATAATAACATTGGTAGAAGAGGGAAAAAAACTAGTCAAATGGAAGAAAGAATAGAGAGAACAGATGTGGAAAAGAGGTGGAGATACGTGGTACAACTGGGTAACATCGTGAAAATCCCTGACGTTCAGCCAAGAAACTCTGGGAGTGACTCTGGTTGGCATCTAAGCATCTTACATGAAGTACATCTGAATTTTTTTAAGCAAGTCTAACTAGGAATGTGGAAGTTCCACCTCCTCCTAGCTATGCAACCAAGACTACACACAGACAGCTCTTTCCAGGCCTGAGGATCACTAAATTAAATGGGTCATTGACATAATAACTCCTAACAACAAATGACCTCTATGTGAGCCGCCATATCACAGGTAGAAGAATGTATCTGAAGATAATTAAGACAATAGCTTCTAAAGATTGTCCAACAGCAACCACAGATATAATTCCCTAGTTAAGAAGTCACACTGTGGGTCCACAGGGGTGTAGAATGGCACCCTAAGTATGCTTTGGTTCATCTAACAAACACTATATAGTGCTTAAATGTAACTTTGATATCCAAGTGTGCTTATCAGATACAAATTCTAGGAAAATCGGTTCAGGCAAGTCCAATATTTTCCAGCTAATCAGTTCCCCTTTCTCTAGCCCCTCTGCAAATAAGAGTTTTCCACATAATAAGGTCTTCACATTTTCGTATCAATTTCACATGTATGTGTGTTCCATATGCTCCAGGACATCCCAGAGAGATAATATGAAATTAAGCAAAAAGAAAGGTGATTTTTTTTAGGAGAACAAAAATAGAAAGCAAGCTCTACTTGCTACTTTAAAGTACTACATGAGAATAGTGAAAGATGTTTCACTGAATACTGGAAACTGAAGTTACTAAAATGAAATCTGAAATTTTTCTTGGGGTGCCTGGGTGTCTCAGTTAAGCATCCGGCTCTTGATTTCAGCTCAGGTCATTATCTCATAATCGTGATGGTGAGCCTGGCATCAGGCTCCATGCTGGGCACATAACCTGCCTAAGATTCTCTCTCTCTCAAAAAAAAAAAAAAAAAAATTAAAATTAAATTCTTCTTAACCCAAAAAATTTTAATCTATTATTTTGAAAAGAGTTGTTCTTGGGACACCTGGGTTGCTCAGTAAGTTAATCATCTGACTCTTGATTTTGATCATGATCTCATGGTTCATGAAATCTCATGGTTTGGCTCAGGCCCTGTGCTAGCAGTCGGAGTCTGCTTGGTATTCTGTCTCCCTTTCTCTCTCTGCCCTTCCCCGTTTTCTCTCTCAAAATACATTTTTAAAAAAGAATTTTTCTTGGGGTGCCTGGCTGGCTCCGTTGGTGGAGCATCTGACTCTTGATCTGGGGATTAGAGTTCAAGCTCCATGTTGGATGTAAAAATTACTTAAAAACAAAGTCTTTAGGAAAAAAAGAATTTTTCTCTCTCCTTCTTTAAGGTGTCTCAAAGATGCAAATTCAAAATAATGTCTCTGACAAGGAGTTTTCTCTTTCCTTAGTGCAACTGTACAAAAATCAGAATGAATAGCAGAAATGACTCAATCCCAACTATTTTTTCATCTACTTACAGTGTTGTTGCTTGTGATACAAAGGAACAAGTAAGTGGTAGGGACACAGAAGATCTGTCAGAGCTGCCCACAGGAGCTGGTTCGTTCACCAGTGGGCACTCATACGTCTGCATCAAACTTCACACAGTGAAAGGTCAGAGACCTTCACTGCCTTTGGATGTGGAAAGCTCAGAGTACAGATTCAATTATGATATGATGGTCACTTAGGCGGCAGGGGTCTTCTCAAACCAACTTGCCTTTCCCTTAGGGAAGACTGAACTTCCTTAGCTAGGATTTTCTGACATTTCAGGTTATTCAAGTGCTTCATTTCATACTCCCTTTCAAGTTTGATGGCTGGAAAATAAAATACATGAACCAATCCAACTGACACTTTTCACCAGGCATAATATAGTTAAAACTGAATATTTAATCATACAGCAAACCCCACATTCTTAAATACCAAACAAGAAGGGCTACATAGATGAGGGATATGGTCTGAATAAGCATATTTAAACATTTATCTGATAATAAACAAAATAACATAGATAAAATTAGCTACTTATTAAAAGGTTCTTAAAGAACTTACATTCTGCAGAAGGGAGCAGGGCACTCTTAATGATTTTATCTTTTCTGAGGTGTAAAGGACTACCAAATGCAATTTCTTCCAAGAAAGGCAACTTGATGTTGGCTAGGTTCATGTACCAGGTCTTTGTAAGCAGTGCAAGATCCCAAGGTTCCTGTCTGGGGCAAAAATTCATTAATTCATTCAATGAATATTCATTGAATATCCAATGTGGGATACACAGAAGATATCTTAATTCTCGATTCCATTGTCCACTAGACATTTTGGTTTATGGGGGGATTTCAGGACTTTCCAGAGTCATAAATCTAGACAAAAGGAGATTATATTAATGTATAGTCTATAATGTATACATACTAAGGTAGAGATATATTGCAAAATTACCATAAATTATAATGACAGGAACTTTTGTTCAAAAGCAGCATCCCTGCAGTCAATCCAATCTTTCTATGTCTTTTATTTTTTTATGTATCTAAATATATATATATATATTTTTTTTTTTTACAAATAGTTTATTGTCAAATTAGTTTCCACATAACACTCAGTGCTCTTTCTATGTCTTTTAAGAGGATGTGGTTAAGAACTGTAAGCTCCAAGTTTATGGCTGATCACAAATATGGTCACATTAGGGAAGGAAAAAAGGGAATAATCATTCATTGAGCAGGTATTTGGCATACACTAAGGCTTCGAATGTGTAATATTATTTTAACCTTTACAACCCCCATGTGAATAGACAAGGAAACAGAAGCACAAGTTAATTAAGAACCAGAGCTGGTACTAAGCCTAGCTGGAGTTATTCAGAAGCACTAGTACCAAGAGAATCCTCAGAAAACTGGAGGAGATGAAATTCCAAACTATAATATTAACAATAATCACCATGAACTTCAAATGAATTGTTTTATATGTTCTAATTTGGAAATTTTAAATGTCGACTACATATTTCTCATCTCATTGAGTCAATATGACTTTCACATGTTCTAGGAAAGGTGAAAGACCTGCTTTGGTACAAGAGTCTACTTGTTTTCCTCCTCCAGCTTCCTTGCTACTTTATCATCTAACTTTAAGGAGTGACTTAAAGTCTACAATTATTATAAGTGCATTTGAACAAGGGCACAAATATGTATTTATAAGAAAGTTCACTGAAGCACTGTTCGTAAAAAAAAAAAAAAAAAAAAAATCCTCACAAAATAACCTTAATGTCGATCAAGAGGAGCCTGGTTAAACTGTGGTACATAGGTGTGATGAAAGAATGAGGTTTATCCTTATATGTTGATTTGGAAAGATGAGCAATAAAACAGCTAATTTTATCTAGGCACTTACTATATGCTGGGCACTGCACTGTTTTAATCAGTTTACACATATGAACACATTTAATTGCCACAGTAACTTTATGAAGTAGGCAGGTGCTATTATTAAGCTCATTTTACAGATTAGGAAACAAGAATAGAACAACTTGCTCAAGGTCACAAGGCTGTTGGTCATGGGTTTGGGATTTGGACCCAGAAAGTCAGACTCTAGAATCTGTGCTCATAATATTAGTCTATACAGGATATAGTAAGGGAGAGGGCAAAGTTCAACATAATCACACATGTAAAAACACATATATATATATGTCTTGTATAGCACAAAGAAATTCTAGGAAAATATGAAACACTTTACCTTTGAGTGGGATTGGGTGGGGAGGAATGGGGAAATGAGAGATAGCATTTTTGTTTTCTTTTCAAATGCTTCTATACTGTTTGGATTTTTGTGTGTGTGTGTATTTTTTATAACCCTGTATAAAAACATTCAAAATTCATTTGTCTTAGCAAATAAATTCCAAAGAGTGCTATTCCCATTCTTTTCCTCTTAATTTAGCCGTTCTTATAAATAATATCAAACATTTTCTTGTAAGTATGATAGAGAAGGCACTGGTTTTGCAGAGGCTATTCATGATATAAAATTCTACATAACCAAAACTGCAGAATCAGTGCTTTATATTATTCTCCAAACATAGGATTATCTTTATTACAAAAATTACATTTATAATAATGTTGACTACCATGGTACTTGCCAGTAGTTCAATGTCTAAACACATACTGAAATGACAAAACTAAATAAAATGCAAAGATGAATTTGCTCTGGTTTTCCAATAGCTCTGGTTTTAGAACCCCAAAGGATATCTCCGCTTACACATCAGAATATTGTTTAAAAAGAAAAATTCAGGGCGCCTGGGTGGCTTAGTCGGTTAAGCGTCCGACTTTCGCTTAGGTCATGATCTCGCGGTTCGTGGGTTCGAGCCCCGCGTCGGGCTCTGTGCTGACTGCCAGCTCAGAGCCTGGAGCCTGTTTCAGTCTGTGACTCCATCTCTCTCTGACCCTCCCCTGCTCACGCTGTCTCTCTCTCCTAGAAATAAATAAAACATTTAAAAAAAAAAAAAAACAAAGAAATATGCAAATACTTAACACACGTTACTTTATTTGTATTCCACATCATACAGACAGATATTGATAAGTTCATTTTACAGATGTGGAGACCAAGATAGAGAAAAGTTAAATAATTTATTCAAGTTGACATAGGGAGCCAGGGCAGGACCAGGCTTTGAACTCAGATCTTTTTTTTTTTAAATACTTAAAAAGTTTTTTAAAATATTTTTTTAATTTACATCCAAATTAGTTAGCATATGGTGCAACAATGATTTCAGGAGTAGATTCCTTAATGCCCCGTACCCATTTAGCCCATCCCTCCTCCCACAACCCCTCTAGTAATCCTCTGTTTGTTCTCCATGAGTCTCTTATGTTTTCTCCCCTCCCTGTTTTTATATTATTTTTGCTTCCCTTCCCTTATGTTCATCTGTTTTGTATCTTAAAGTCCTCAAATGAGTGAAGTCATATATTTGTCTTCCTCTGGCTGACTAATTTCGCTTAGCATGATACCCTCTAGTTCCATCGATGTAGTTGCAAATGGTAAGATTTCATTATGTTTGATTGCCAAGTAATATTCCATGTATATTTATATACATACCACATCTTCTTTAACCATTGATCTTTCAATGGACATTTGGGCTCTTTCCATACTCTGGCTATTATTGATAGTGCTGCTATAAACATTGGGGTGCATGTGTCCCTTTGAAACAGCACACCTGTATCCCTTGGATAAACAGCTAGTAGTGCAATTGCTGGGGCATAGGGTAGTTCTATTTTTAATTTTTTGAGGAATCTTCATACCGTTTTCCAGAGTGACTGTATCAGTTTGCAGTCCCACCAGCAGCACAAAAGAGATCCTCTTTTTCCACATCCTAGCTAGCAACTGTTGTTGCCTGACTTGTTGATTTTAGCCGTTCAGATGGGTATCAGGTGGTATCTCACTGTGATTTTGATTTGTATTTCCCTGAGGATGAGTGACGTTGAGCATCATTTCATGTGTCTGTTGGCCATCTGGATGTCTTCTTTGGATAAGTGTCTATTCATGTCTTCTGCCCATTTCTTCACTGGATTATTTGCTTTTTCGGTGTTGAGTTTGGTAAATTCTTTACAGATTTTGTCTGTATATGTCATCTGATATGTCATTTGCAAATATCTTCTCCCATTCTGTCAGTTGTCTTTTAGTTTCGCTGATTGTTTCCTTCACTGTGCCAAAGCTTTTTATTTTGATGAGGTGCCAATAGTTCATTTTTGCTTTTGTTTCCCTTGCCTCTGGAGACATGTTGATTAAGAAATTGCTGCATCCAAGGTCAAAGAGGTTCTTGCCTGCTTTCTCAAGGATTTTGATGGCTTCCTGTCCTACATTTAGGTCTTTCATCCTTTTTGAGCTTATTTTTGTGTATGGTGTAAGAAAGTGATCCAAGTTCATTTTTCTGCATGTCGCTGTCCAGTTTTCCCAGCACCACTTGCTAAAGAGACTGTGTTTATTCCATTGAATATTCTTTCCTGCTTTGTCAAAGAGTAGTTGGCCACATGTTCGTGGGTCCATTTCTGGGTTCTCTCTTTTCTTTTTAATTTATTATTATTATTTTGGGAGAGAGAGAGAGAGAAACAGAGCACGAGCAGGCAAAAGGCAGACAGAAAGGGAGACACAGAATTAGTAGCAGGCTCCAGGCTCTGAGCTGTCACCACAGAGCCAGATGCTGGGTCTTGAACCCACAAACCATAAGATCATGACCTGAGCTGAAGTCGGAGGCTCAACCACCTGAGCCACCCAGGTGGCCCATTTTTTAAAAATAAACATGTAGATTTATTTCAAATCAATTCATTACATGATACAGATTGGTTTTGCAGTTTAAAAATATTGAACACTTCACGAATTTACATGTCATTGCTGTGAAGGGGTCATGCTAATCTTTTGTGTTTTGTTCCAATTTTAGTATCTGTGCTGCTGAAGCAAGCACATGCCTCAGATCTTCCTGATTGCAAAACCCATGTTGTCCATACCATACAGCACCTGCAAAAGCATACAGGATGCAAAACTGCCTCTTTGTACTCGCTAATCAAGTGCTCAGTTAAGATATACCTGACACCAAGACACTTTTAGGTAGATTTACACCATCTACAGAAGTATTTTAAGGTAGTTGACAGTAGTCAAAATGTTGCTTTGGAATAGGAAGATGAACTTCTATCCCTGTCCCTTCTTTACTACGTGACTGTATGACTTTGATCAAATCACTTCTCCAAACCTCAGTTTGTGTTGTTTTATTATAACAGCCAAGTAAGATAATTTATAAATTCTTACTAAAAGCATTTTCCTGGGGCTCAATCAGTTAAGGCTCTGCCTTCAGCTCAGGCCATGATCTCTTGGTTTGTGGGTTGGAGCTCTGTGCTGACAGCAAGCTCAGAGCCTGGAGCCTGTTTCAGATTCTGTATCTCTCTCTCTCTCTCTCTGACCCTCCCCCTGATCACGCTGTGTGTGTCTTTCTTTCCCTCAGAAATAAATAAAACATTAAAAATTAAAAAAAAAAAAAAAGCATTTTCCTTTAAAAAAAAAAAAAACACTATTCAGATATCATGGGGAGTATCAGCGCGTTGCAGGTACTCTTTATTTTACTCAGTACACTCCCCACCCCCAGTCAATGCTCACAATGATGAAAATACTTACACTTTAAAACAACTGCCCCGCAATATGGTTTTCACCGTGTTCTTTCTTGGCAAGCCATAAGCCATGCTGAATGATCACAGTCCAATTTCCTAACACAGGTGCCTGATGTAATGACTGGGGTACTCTGTTCACTTTGCCTGAAATGATTGCAATACACAGGATTAATGGCTTTCACTTTAATATTTTTTAGTACCCAAATAATAAAAAGATTTAGAAAAAGCATCTCTGGATATCATAAGGTCCCTCATAAATGTTCCTTGAAGCTTAACTCCTAATGTACAACTGTGTTCTCTTTTATTTGCCGTGAACTCATTTAACCATTTCTTGCCACGTACGGAGAAAATGCTAAGTTAACAACAGCGGTATTCTGCCACAGCCCAAGCCTGCCAAACTGGCTCCAACACCTCATCACCGAAACGTGTCTCACTTTAGCAGTGTTGAACGACAAATGGCTCTGCGGGTATACGAACTTACCGTTCCCCGCCAGAGCCCCCTTCCCGGGTTTTCCCTTTTTCAAAAGCCTGAGCTTACCAAGAGGCCCCCTAAGTGCCACTCCCACTGCGAGCCGCACGCACACTCCCGCGCGGCGAGTCTCTCCCAGCCGGCGCGCAGCTAGCTAAGCGCACAAACCGGCTCTCGCGAGCGGGTGGAGCCTCGGCCATCAGCGGAGCCCGGGGCAGAGCGCGGGGGTGTGGGCGCAGGAGGAGGGGAGGAGGGGGGAGGGGACGGGCCTTCCCGCCGCCCCTTCCCACGCACGCGCCCAGCCTCCCTCCCACCCGCACACAGCGCGCGGCGGGCGCGCGGGGCTGGCCGAGGCCTCGGGGACGGGTCCCGGGGGGAAGGAGGAGCCGCCGGAGCCTGGTTACCGGCGCTCGCGGGTCTCGGGGGTCACGGTCCCCCGCAGACCGAGGGCGGAGCGCGCCCCCGACTAGGCGCCCATGGCCGCGCGCACCAGCGGGCCCGCGCCGCGGGCACACGCCTCCTTCCTGCTTCCCGCTGAGCTGCTGGCCGCGCCCAGGGCCTGGGAGCCTTGCGTCACGCCGGGGCCTCAATAAAGGGCTTTGTGGTGACGGCCCCGCCCTCCAGGGGCCCTGGGAACCAGGTCCCTGACGGGGTCCCGCGGGGGCCTCCGGGTTAAGCAAGCGAGACAAGCACACCCTTGACGGAACCAAACTTACGAGGGAAAGAGCTGTAAGCGAGGCCTTTCTCGCTGGAAATGACACTTTTCCGTGTCAAGAGGTTGAGTTGAAGCGACCTGGGAACTTCGTTTTGGGGCCCATTGAGGGGCACCACTTAAAGAAACGTGCTCAGCTTTGACCTGTCCTCTTTGAGCGATGCTCACTGGTGACGCCTGAGGAGAGAGCGGAAGCGCTGTTAATGTTCTCTCTCCCTAGTGGGTCAAGACAGCTATAAACGCTAAAGCCCCAAACCCGAATGAGGTGTGTTACGTGTTCGTCGTGGTAAGGGCGAGACAGATTAGAAAAATTGGCCTGATGGACCAGTTTTTGAAGTCATTACGCTGTGGTGATTCAGGATGAATCTGTATTTTTATATGCCAAATAGTCATCGCTTAAACATCAAATGAAAATGGCTTACCTGTGCATTTTGCAGAAGGGCCATGAAGTCAGAACTGGTTTAGAATTTTAGTTCCACCACTTGCTAACTTTAAGGTCTTGCCTATGTAAATTCTCTAACCCTCAATTTCTCCGTCTATAAACAAGTATAATACTCTAGGTCTTGCAAGGTCATTGCGAAGATTAAAGATTTGTCTGTAAATTCTCTGCCACATGGTAAGTGCCTAATGGTCTAATTTTGAGCCTAGTAACAACTTGATGACATAAAGTCATAAAGCAAAGGATACTTTGCAAAGACATAAGCAAAGGATACTTAACTCCAATTGTGGAGAGGAAGAGTGAACTAAAGATAGGGGACTGCCCCAGGTGACAGCTCATGAGTTACAAGCCCAACAGTACCTGGACAGGCTACCTCTGATACTAGCTCCTGCCTAATTAGAATAGACTGGTAAGCTTGAAACCAGCTTTTTGCCTCCTAGAAACTGGAAGGAGAAGACTCCTTTGCTCTTTAACACTTCTGTTCTAGCACCACTGGAAAAGGAGCCACCATGAGTGAGAGTGGATGCTAGTATTTAAAACAAAAAATGGTGAATCAACTAATGGACTGTAAATCAATGTAGTAGATTTTGACCTGCATTTTTTCAAATAGGGTAATATAGAATGAGGTGGAGGGTGGGGAATGAGAGTACATCATGCAAATAAGCCTAAGTATTGTTTTGTGGGACTTATATTTTTGTTATCCATGTGGACTCTTTCTCATGCCTTGGTGTGTATGCTGTTTCAATGTAAACTATAGTTCTCACAGTGGGTCTAAACAGTTTGAAAGCCACTAAGATCATTTCATTGTAGAGATGAAAAAAGTGGAGACCAGGTTGTTAATTGAAATCATACCTAGACGGACCAGAGATAGGCCACTTTAGAGTTGAATTGATACATGGAGCCATGGCCTGTTCTCTTTTTAAGAGAAGAAATCAAGATCCAGGGAGAGGATATGATGTGTCCAGGGCCCCACTGAGACAGGTGAGACAGCCTGTGGTTTCTCCATGTGGGAACTTCATTTCCCATATGTGTGTTTGTTTTCTGAGAATTATATTATTTACTAACTCATTCACTTTGAACAATTATGGTGGAAGTTACAGAATATGACTTTTTTTAATGTTCATTTTTTAGAGAAAGACAGCACATGTGGGGGAGGGGCTGAGAGAGAGAGGGAGACACAGAATCCGAAGCAGGCTCCAGGCTCTGAGCTGTCAGCACAGAGCCCAACATGGGGCTCGAACCCACAAACAGTAAGATCATGACCTGAGCCAAAGTCAGACACTTAACTGACTGAGACACCCAGGCATCCCCAGAATATGATTTCTGAGACCAGGTCACAGAAGGTTTGTGGCTTCCTTCTGTGGTCTCTGTTGGATCACTAACCCTAGGAGAGATCAGAGCCATGTTAGGGAATACTCAAGCCACCTTGTGGAGAAATTCACATGCAAAGGAATCAAAGCCTTTAGCCAACAACTGAGGAGGTTCTGAGGCCTCGTGCCACCAATCATGTGAGTGAGCCAGCTTGGAAGCAAAGCTTCCTCAAAAAAGCTGCATCAAGCCTTCAGATGACTGCAGCCCCAGCTGATATCTTCACTGAAACTTCATGGGAGATCCTGGGTCAGAACCATCTAGCTAAGCCAGTTCAGGATTCCTGGCCCTCAGAAAATATAAGATAATAAATGCTTATCATTTTAAGCCATCAACCTTTGCAGCATTTGTTACAGAGCAACAGATAACTAATGTAACACTAAGTGTCTTATAGTAGAAGGAATATTTTACACAAAAGAAAATAGCCATATTTTTCTAATTGAGATTAATAGTTTGATTTTTTTTAAAAATGAACAGTAAAGGGGCACCTGGTGGCTAAGTTGGCTGAGCATCCAGCTCTTGGTTTGGGCTCAGGTCATGATCCCAGGGTCATGGGATCAAGTCCCACTATTGGCTCTGTGCTGAGCAAGCCCCCTGGTTGGGTTTCTTTCTCTCTCTCCCTCTCTCTTGCTCATGCTCTCTCTCTCTCTTTCTCTCTAAAATAAAAAAATTAAAATTAAAAAATAAATGAACAGTAAAACATTATGCTTTTACAGATTCTTTCTGGGCAGCCAATTTTGCTAAATCTCATCTAGGACCAGTTAAGATCTTTAAAAACTGTCAACACAGAAAATATATGGTAAGTACCACTCTTCCATGTCTTTATTTTTTTTTAATGTTCATTTATTTATTTTGAAAGAGAGTGAGCATGGGGAAGGTATCAGGGAGAGATGGAGAGAGAGAATCCGAAGCAGCAGGTCCCTCTTCTCAGTGCAGAGCCCAGCACAGGGCTCCATGTCATGAACTGAGAGATCATGACCTCAGTCGAAATCAAGAGTCAGACGCGTAACCAACTGAGCCACCCAGGCACCTCTCCCACATGTATTTAAAAACAAAAATAACACTAAATCACCCTATCCCCATAATGACAATTTTAGTATTTTCTTTTGAAATATCAAATCACTTCTAAACATTTCTGACTGCCATGAACATTTCTGCCTTCCACCATCCCTCCACCCTCCTGTCCTTCACTTCCCTTCCTTTCTTTTCTCTATGATATCTCTCCCAGTGCTATCCTGATGCCCTGCACACATCTTCTTATTGGGTAAGCCTTCAGGGATCTCTATTCCAGAAAGTTGGCAGGTTTCATTTAAATTGATTAAGAGAGCATTGCTGCCACCTACTGTTAAAACTAAGGTACGAAGAGGAGTGCAAAGAGACATGATAATAATTATAACAAAAAAACAATACTAGTGCAATGTTTACTAAACTTTGGGCACTGTTCAAGGCACTTCATATTCATTGATTCATTTAATTATCAAAGAAGAGATGGCATTATCAATTTAGTATTGTGATTTTAGGGGTATTAGAGAAGTAAAAACTGAGGTACCACAAGTATGAATAACTTTTCCAAGGTCACAGGACTCAAGACTATGCAATTCTGATATTTCTCTCTCTATCATACTATACATTCTCCCAGGATTGTAATTAGGGCAGTGTTTTAAGGTGTATACTTGTAAATTTTTTTGCACTGCCCTGTTCAAATACTCTGTTAATTTCTCATCATATGTATATTAACAGAATATGGCTGGACACCTACTCCATGCCAACAGTCATTCTTCTCCATATCATCTGAGCCTCACAGTTTAGAGGAGAAGAGAGTAATAGTTTCCCTAGAACAGTTAAGGAAACAAAAGATTTATAGGGCTATTACATGATTTGCTTACAATTATACAACTAGTAAAATGGAGAACCTAATTTAACCCAGGTCAGTTTCACTCCTGATCTACCTCCTCTGAGGATGTGGAATAAATAAAAATTTTAAAAGAAAAAAAATTTTAAGGATCATGTTTTTAGAAGTTCCACCTATGGGCACCTGGGTGGCTCAGTTGGTTAAGCATCCGACTTCAGGTCAGGCATGATCTCATGGTTTGTGGGTTCAAGCCCCACATCGGGCTCTGTGCTGACAGCTAGCTCAGAGCCTGGAGCCTGTTTCGGGTTCTGTATCTCCCTCTCTCTCTGCACCTTTCTTGCTCTATCTCTCTCTCAAAATAAATAAACTTTTAAAAAATATTTTAAAAGAATTACTTTCATTTTTTCCTATGGGGAAAGATTATTGCTTTAAAATATTGTTTATAAAAATGTTACAACTTTGATAATTATATTAAACAGTACAACATAGGGGTTCCTGGGAGCCTCAGTCCATTGAGCACCCAACTCTTGATTTTGGCACCGGTCATGATCTCACAGTTTGTAAGTTTGTGCTCCACATCAGGCTCTGCCCTGACAGTGTGGAGCCTGCTTGGGATTCTGTCTCTCCCCCTCTCTCTCTGTCAATTTCCTCCATCTCTCAAAATAAATAAATACTTTTAAAAAAGTACAACATTGTGTCCCCAAAAGCCACAAAGGCGTTTTATTTTAAAACATGATCTTAAAAGAAGTGATGTGTAAAGCAGCAACGTGACATACATAACTAATGTCACAAACCAAATTACATCTCCCCAAACTTAAATGTTGGAGCCCTAAACTGCGCCCACCCCAATGTGACTGTATTTAGAGAAGAGGCCCTTACAAAGATAATTAAGGTTAGGGGCTCCTGGGTGATTCAGTCAGTTAAGCATCTGACTCTCAATTTCAGCTCAGGTCATGATCTCACAGTTTGTGGGTTCAAGCCCCATGTCGGGCTCCATACTTGCAGCATGGAGTCTGCTTGGGATTCTTTCTCTCCCTCTATCTGCCCCTCCCCTGCTCATTCTCTCTCCTCTCCTCTCTCTTTCAAGATAAATAAACATTAAATTTTTAAATAAAAAAGTAAAATTAATTAATTAGAGAAGAAGATAATTGAGGTTAAATGAGGTCATTAGGGTGGGACCTTGATCCCGTAAGACTGGTATCCTTAAAGGAGGACACCAGAAGTGCACACAGTGGAATGGCCACATGAGGAAACAGAAGAAAGTGGCCACCTGCCAGAGAGGAGAGAGGACTCACCAGAAACCAGCCCTGTTGGCACCTTGATCCTGGACTTCTAGCCTCCAGAACTGTGAGAAAATAAATTTCTGTTGTTTAAGCTCCCCCCACCCACCCACCCCCAGTTTGTGGTATTCTGTTGTGGCAGCCTGAGGAGACAAATACAGCTACCAACCCAGAGTCACTTTTGTTCCTATTCTTTTATTCCTTCTTACCCTTGTCCCCCTTCCCCCCTCAAAAAAACTGAGGTGTGATACATTAAATGATATATAGTATAGATGTGGTTGTTTAAAAAACATGTCCACAAATCCTTTGATACACCTCCCTTCAAGAAGAGGAGCTTAGGGGTGCCTGGGTGGCTCAGTCGGTTGAGCGTCTGACTTTGGCTCAGGTCATGATCTCACGGTTTGTGGGTTTAAGCCCCGCGTTGGGCTTTGTGCTGACAGCTCAGAGCCTAGATCCTGTTTCGGATTCTGTGTCTCCCTCTCTCTCTGACCATCTCTGCTCACACTGTCTCTCTGTCTCAGAAATAAATAAAACATTAAAAAAAAAAAAAGAAGGGCTTAATTCCCCTCCCCTTGAGTGTGACCCACAGAATAAAGTAAAAATGATGATGTATGACTCAGACCACTCACTTTGGGAGAAGCCAGCCACCATGTTGAGCAGTCCTATGGAGAGACCATGGAATGAGGAACTTAGGCTGCAAGTCAACAGCTGTAGGAGCGAGCCATCTCAGAAGGAGGTCCTCCAGCCCCAGTCCAGCTCTCAGATGACTGCAGCCTTTAACACACCTTGAGTGCAACCTCATTCGAGGTGCTGAGCCAGAAACATCCAGCTAAATTCCTGACTGACAGAACTTGTAAGATAACATGTTTATTTTAAGCCACTAAATTGGAATAATTTGTTACTCCAATAGGTAATTACTAGGGGCTAGATTGCTCTTACATAAGAAAGAGATAAAGAGACATAGAAGGAAAGATCTGGAAATGAGGATTTAGGGAGAGAAAGAAGCAGAAAGAGAGTATAGTGAAGAGAATTTTATTTGGAGAGACAGGATGAGGTTAGGGCAACTGATATATGAAATGGGACTCTGGGGACAGAGAGATGTTAAAAGGTATATTTAAGAAACTTTGTTGTGCTCAATAGCCAAAACATGGAAAGAGCCTAAGTGTCCATCAATGGACAAATGGATCAAGAAGATGTGGTTAAGCTATACAATGGAATACTACATGGCAATGAAAAAGAATGAAATCTGGCCATGTGTAGCAACATGGATGGAATTGAGGGTGTTATGCTGAGCGAAATAAGTCAGGCAGAGAAGGACAGCTACCATATGTTTGCACATACAGGAGGATTAGGAGGAACTTAACAGAGGACCGTGGAGGAGAAGAAGGGGGGAAATGGGAGAGGGGGAGGGAGGCAAACCATGAGAGACTCTTGAATGCTGAGAACAAACTGAGGGCTGATGGGTGTGGGGGGAGGGGAAGGGAGTGATGGGCATGGAGGAGGGCACTTGTGGGAAGGAGCACTGGGTGTTATCTGGAAACCAACTTGACAATAAACTATTTAAAAAAAAAATCCAAAAAAAAAGAAACTTTGTTGTGCTATTTGGTATAAATCTCTCCCTTATGTTCCTAAAAAACGATCTATATATCTTTAAATTATAATAAATAATAATAATCCGACTTGCCCAGTGATTTAATGTGTCCTTGGGCTCATGAAGGACTTATGTAGATCAACCCTAGTAATTTGATCCTTCTTTACTAGATACTCAGTTTCCCAGTTTTTCTTATTGCTCAGAGCCGTGGACAAAGCTTTGGCCAATGATACTTAAGAGGAAGTCTACCAGGAGCCCCTGGGAAATATTTTGCTTCCTGCTGAGGAGAGAAACACCCTTAAGAATTCACTAGCATTTCCTGACTGTTCTTCCTCTCTTGCAAGTGTGTTGAAAAGTTGTATGAGGCCACTGTTGTGTGCCAATGAGAAGTTAATTGTGATAATGGGAAGGCATCAGGCAGTGGTGGCTGAGTATAAGGATAGAAAGCACCTGGAGCCACGGAGACAGACTGAGTGGTGGCATTGAACCTGGAGTGCCTTGTTCCAATCTCCTTATTAGGTAAGAATATTAACACTCTTTTTTGCTTAAGCCACTTAAGCTATAACGAATATGGTTTTCTGTAATTTGTGGTAAAAATCATTCTTAACTGATACTCAAGATGAATATTTGCTTAAAGATGGTGCCCTCAAGGGGCACCTGGGTGGTTCAGTTGGTTGAGCGTCCAACTTCGGCTTAGGTCATGATCTCTCTGTTCCTGAGTTCAACCTGTGTTGGGCTCTGTGCTGACAGTTCAAAGCCTAGAGCCTGCTTCAGATTCTGTCTCCCGCTTTGTACCTCCCCTGCTTTTGCTCGTCTCTGTCTCTCTTTCAAAAATAAATAAACATTAAAAAATGCTTTTTACAAAAAGATGGTGCCCTCAAGCTGAGCCACATGATATGTGTGAACCTGAGACATACTTCCCGAGTTCAAAATCCCCTTCCTCTTCAGCTAGTAGCCTTCCAGCCAGGGAGTTACCTCAGTGCCTCTAGGATAGAGATAATTCTACTTTCATCAAGGAACTGTCATGACCGTTAGTTGCCTCGCCCTAATTATTATACAACAAATATAAATTCTCATTATTTTAAGAGCTTAAAACCCAAAAACTTAGTATTCAAAATCTTCCAAAAACCACACAATCCTCATAAAATGTGAAGTCTATCAACTCCAAATTTAGGGCCTATAGATATTCCACTACTGTACATAATCACCATATCTTGGATGGATATGAAGTGACTTTGGTTTTTAATTCTTCAATGAAGAAAATTTCAAATCTGTACAAAAGCAGAGATTCATACACTGAATCCCCATCTACCCATCACCCAATGTCAGCAGCTTATCAAGAGATTTCAATCTTGTTTAATTTTGTCACTTTCCCCATAAATACTGAGTGATTTTTTTTAAGTTTATTTATTTTAAGAGAGAGAGCATGAGTGGGGGGAGGGGAGAGAAAGAGAGAGGAGTGGGGGGAGAGAGAGAGAGAGATTGGATCCCAAGCAGGCTCCTCACAGCCAGCACAGAGCCCAGTGCAGGGTTCGATTACATGAAACATGAGATCATGACCTGAGCCAAAATCAAGAGTTGGACACTCAGAGGACTGAGCCATCCAGGCATCCTGTAACTTTTTTTTTATCACATTTTTTTAAATATTTTTATTTTATTTCTAGGAGAGAGAAAGAGGGAGACAGCGTGAGCAGGGGAAGGTCAGAGAGAGAGGGAGATACAGACTCTGAAATAGGCTCCAGGCTCTAAGCTGGCAGTCAGCACAGAGCCCGCCGCGGGGCCCGAACCCATGAACCGTGAGATCATGACCTAAGCGAAAGCCGGACGCTTAACCGACTAAGCCACCCAGGCGCCCCCGTGAGTAACTTTTTTTAATTCATTTATAAGTCAGTGTAATTTCACAAAAAAATTAAATATATGTATATATCTCTAGAACTAGCAGCTTTTGTTTTTAGGTTTTCCTATATTTGTTCTGACTGTAAGACCTCAGACTGAGACCTTCATGATGGCGGTTGAAAAAGTATGGGTTTGGGAGCCATCTCTAGATTGGGTTAAAATTCCAGTTCCACCACTTTCTGTGTGATCAGGAGCACATTACTTACTTTCCTTTGGGCCTTGGTTTTTTCACCCGCAAAGAGGAGCAGACCAGCAGTCAGGACCCACTTTCTAGGGTCACTTTGAGAAGTAAGTAGCAAAACAATGTGAGTGATAGCTCTAATTTACTCAGTAAACCAGCCACTGCCCTAAGCACTTTTCTGGTAGTATCGTCAGTCCTTGGCACTTGGCGCTTGCCTGGTGCTCAGCAAATGTTGCCTTTCAGTCCTTGGAGTGACTTTTACTCCAGCATAGATGACAGCGTGCTGGCTCTGGTTATGGTAGGCTGCTAAGAGAAGGTAGTGCCGTTGCTGGACACAGTCCTCCACAAAGTGGGGGCGACAGGGGGTGGCTGAAGAAAGCCTTCCCAGACTTACCAACCAGTCCAACTTGTATGGAAGGTGAGGGATGGAATAAGGAGGAAAGAATGAGGATAAAATGAAGTGTGGACTCAGGAAGAATTGAAAGTGGCATGTTTTGGTTTTGTATCTGTTATTTTTAAAGTTTATTCATCTATTTTGTGAGTGAGAGAGGAGAGCAGGGAAGGGGTAGAGAGAGAATCCCAAGCAGGCTCCCTGCTGTCAGGGCTGAGCCCAATGAGGGCTTGATCTCATGAACAGTGAGATTATGACCTGAGCCAAAATCAAGAGTTGGAGGCTTAACTGATTGAGCCACCCAGGTGCCCCTAAAGCACCATGTCTTTTGTCCCTCTCCAGTGCTCTCACACATTGGCTTTTCTGACTTCACACAGCCACCCCCCAAGCAGTTATCACTCTGCACTTACCTTTGGGGCTCAGTAGCTGGGAATGTCGGGATGGGATAGAGTGGGGAGCAGACAGGTGACCTGAGGTTGGCCCCAGAATGACAATGGCCCCATTGTTCTGGAAGGCAGTTCCCACCACCCCCAGGTCCCCTGAAGTTCCCATTACTGTTTGATGCACCTGCATACATTCAGTCTGCAAACTAGGGCTGCCTCGGATGGGCCCATTAGAAGAGTCCTGACCACCTCAAGGGGTATGAAGGCTCCCTGACCTTGAGAACCCAGACATTTCCCAGGAAAGGCTTGCAACAGCAATAAGCTGGGAATGAGTTCAAATAGTTAGGAAGGAGTGATTCTGAAATCAGTGTTTATTAGCAAAGAAAACTTTCTCTTTTTTTCTGTTTCCCTCTCCAGAAGACTGTGTCTGAACTGGGCTTCAAATATAAAGTAGGAAATCTACTAATTCTTCTTACAGGGGGTTTGTGGATTCAAAGCAATCAAGTGGGAGAGACGCCTTGGTGGCTCAGTTGGTTGAGTGTCTCACTTCGCTTAGGTCATGATCTAACTGTTTAAACCTGCATCACACAGGTTAATCTGTAGGGGCAGAGTTGGTTGGGGGAGTGTGAGGAAGGAAGCCCAGGATTCTGCATTTTAAAGAGGCTTCTCAGGTGAAGGTTTACTTCTAAATTTTAAGAACCACCCACCTGAGGAATGACAAGATGTTCTCTTAGATGGGCTGTGGCCTGGAGAATCTACTTTTGCTGAATCTCATGAAGCTACTTTGGGTGTATGTTCATGAGGAAACTACAACCCCAAGAACTCAACTAAAGAAATGAGAAAAAGACAAGATACTGAGAATTGGAATTGAGTAATAACTAATAATGGTTCCACATTATTATTGCACTTGCAGTGCAAGTTTTCCTACATACAGATGCTCTATAAATGCCCATTAAGTTGACTTGAATGTATTCCCTTTGGAGAGCCATACTTTCAACAAGGACTTCCATGATTTTTTCCTGGTGGTGTTTGGACAAGCATACATGTGTGCACAGGCAAGGGGCAGAAGAGGTGGTGGTGAACAAAAGTGGGTTTGATAAAGTAAGAAAATAAAATTTAATGAGTTGCTAAGCAGACTTCAGTTGTAAGTTAGGGAAAATATAACTACAAGTTCTAATTTGGGTTTACTTCCTCTTTTGCCCCAGAATCTTAAGCAAGCTACTTTCATTTCTCTATTTCTTTTAAGGAATATGCCTTGTGGAATTATTTTAAGAAGTAAGTAATCAGAGATTGGAAAGCACCTTTTCCTCTTAGCCAAAATTGTGAAGAGAATCTCCACCATCTGGCATCAAGGCCAGTTCAATGAGACAAGTAGTTTCTTTCTTCTTTCTATAAACTAAAGATCATTGAGTAGATGTTTTTTGAGGATACATTTATGTGCTAGAAGCTATGACCTCTGGGATAGCAAACAAGATATAGTTGCTACCTACTATTATTGAAGAAGGAACGAAATCAAGTGAAAAGCAGAAGTTGAAGGATCAGGGTAAAATCACGGGCCAGCCTTCCTTTAGCGCTGGCAGAGATGGCCAAGGTGAAGCATGCAAAGCCAGCTGGGAATCCAGGCACTTCAGCTATCAGAGTGGAACAGCCCAGCCTGGAGTCACTTCTGGTCAGCAGGGCCTGCACTTGAGAAAATAGCCTAGTATGGGGTAGGAGAGAGCAAGAACATCTGGAACGAGTCACCAGCGTGGTAGAGAGTGGGCATGACTGAAATATGCAAACTTCTGTGTGTTCCCTCCAGAACATGGCAGCTCTTTCCCTACCTACCAAATCGCATGCTAGCTTCTTTTTTTTTTTTTCCAACTCTAATGCAAATCATACAAAGAAGGGGATTCTGGGAACTGTAGTTCCAATTTGTCCGAAGTAACACCATACATATAAGGATTTGGGTTGAGAAGTGATAAAAGTTGGCCAGGAGGCCAATGCATGATTAGAGGTGACATAATCAGGAAAGGGCGCCTGGGTGACCCAGTGAGCTGAGCATCTGGGTTTTGATTTCAGCTCAGGTCATGGGATCAAGCTTCATGTTGGGCTCCATGTTGAACATGGAACGTGCTTAAGATTCCATCTCTCTCCTCTGCCCCTTGCCCCCACTCACACTTGCACTCTCTCTCTCTCTTTCTCTAAAATAAAAAAACAATAGGGGCACCTGGATGGCTCAGTCAGTTGGGCATCCGACTTCAGCTCAGGTCATGATTGCACCATTCAGAGTTCCAGCCCTGCATCAGGCTTGGTGCTGACAGCTCAGAGCCTGGAGCTTGTTTCAGATTCTGTGTCTCCCTCTCTCTGCCTCTTCCCCATTCACGATCTCAATATCTCGCGCTCTCTCTTGCTCTCTCTCTCTCAAAAATAAATAAACATTAAAATTTTTTAAACAAAATAAAAAATTAAAAAATTGAAAGGTGACATAGTCAATGCAAAGATTCTGAGCAAAAGTGCTTGTTGAGATCCCAAGCTGTTTGTAACTCCTCAGGACATCTCTAAGTCCTGTGTCAGCACTAGAAGTGTCCCGCTTACAGCAAACTGGTTGCATTACGTGAAGTCAGCTCATAAATGTAAGTCTGATACCCCAACACAGTGACCAGGGGTACAACAATTACAGATGATCACTGAGGTTTCTGTCTCAGTGTCACACAACAGCTATTAACAATTACTTTAAGATTTAATTTTTTATCAGATTCAGGTTTATGAGGTCTAGAATGCTTATCTGTTCAAATATTTATCAATGCTTACTATACACCACGTGGAAGAAGTGTGACATCCTACTAGTCTCTGCACCAACCAGACACACGCCCTCCTACCTGTTCTTGCTTACAACAACTCAGATCCCCTCCCCAAGCATACCAGATTCCCCACAGTGTGTGCGATAAATAAAACATGGTGATAAGGGAGAGAAAACCTGGTGATAAGGGAGAGACAAAGCCCTCAGGTTTCCAGAAGGATTGGTCATAACCCTTTAAATTAAGATGATATAATTAAAAATAGCAGAATTTTCAGAGAACCAGTTTATTTTTTTTAATTTTTAATGTTTATTTATTTATTTTTTTTACAAATAGTTTATTGTCAAATTGGTTTCCACATAACACCCAGTGCTCATCCCCACAAGTGCCCTCCTCCATGCCCATCCCTCCTCCCCCCCACATCCATCAGTCCTCAGTTTTTGTCAGCATTCAAGAGTCTCTCATGGTTTGCCTCTCTCCCTTTCCCCCACCATTTCCCCCCTTCTTCTCCCCCTTGTTCCTCCGTCAAGTTCCTCCTAATCCTCCTATACGTGCAAACATATGATATTTGTCCTCCAGAGAACCAGTTTAAATAAAAAGGAGGATTTAAAATGAGGAGACTTTCTTACTTCACAAGATACAAGAGCAAGGAATGCAACCAGTCCTTGGAGAGGGACTGAAATCAAGAAGTAGACAGCCAGCCTGCTCTCTCTGTCCCTCCCCTGCTTGTGCTCTGTCTCTCTTCCTCTCAAAAATGAATACATGTTTTTAAAAAAAAAAAAATTTTAAGGGGGGGTTCCTAGATGGCTCAGTCAGTTAAGTGCCCAACTTTGACTCAGGTCATGATCTCACAGTTAGTAGGTTCGAGCCCTGTGTCAGGCTCAGTGCTGACAGCTCAGAGCCTGGAGCCTGCTTAGGATTCTGTGTCTCTTCTCTGTCTCTACCACTTTCCTGCTTGTGCTCTGTCTCTCTGCCTCTCAAAAATGAATAAAGTTTAAAAAATTTTTAAAAAAAGAAGGAGAAAGCAAGGAACACTTCATTCCATCTCATTGTCTGCTCTCTCTTCTGCATTTGCTCCTTCTCCCTGCAAATGGATTTCTCTGTTCCTCAAAGTACAAGATGGAATACGGCTGCCCCTCTTGAGTTGTAAGTGATAGTTTGAAGCAGATGGAGATTGCCTTTCTTTTAGTCCTAATACCAAATAAGGAGAGAATCTGATTGGTTAAACTTGGGTTCAATATTCTCTCCTTGAACCAATTAGCCTTGGTGGTAATGGGAAATCAGGAGAGCTTCAGTACAAACCTGCAGGCAGGACCCCATCTCGATGGGTAAGGGAGCATTGGTGTCAATACTCTGACTTTACTTACAGAGGATACAAGGTTAATCTAATGCTAGCCAAGTGTGCAGAGATAAATGACTTCCTAGGGAGACTTCAGAAGTCAAGCATACTACTTTTCCTACAGTGACAAGAACAGCAGGAGCCAATGCAAAGTCAGAAGCCTAATAATATGAGCATTGGGGACACTGTAATCAAGTCAGGATTAATGAAACGAAGTATGTCCAAGAGTGTAGCACACACTGTTGATTCCGTTTCTAAACCATTTCCCTTCTTCCTTGCTCTTACAGCTCTGGTTTTCTTCAGGTATCTGTGCTCCTCCATTTGGTCATGTGCATGTGTTCCAGCTACTTCCGAAGCTCTTAAAGGTGAATCCTCATTAACCTAACCAACCAAGGTAGTAAGTACCATTCCTTTATCTTTGATTTAGGCTTGGGCAGGTGATATTTATTCTTACCAATGAGACATGAGGTAAAATCAACTGGGTGTTTCTGGGAAAGATTTCTTTATTCCTAGAAAAGATAACAACAAAGAGATCTTTTCCTCTTTAAACTTTCTTGTATTTGGATATTGGATATACGTGGAATTGCTCTAGCCATCTTATAACCATAGGGAGAGCTATTCTAAGGAAAAAAAGAGAAGGGAAGAGCTAGAAATGGAAAGTCTGGGGCCAATGGTAATATAATTTATCAGTGAATTAACTATCGTTGGAGCCATTATGCATTTTGACTTCTTATATGAGATGCACTTTATTTTTTAAGCCACTTTGAGTTGATTTTCATTTATCTGCTGCTGAAGGCAACCCAACCAAAACAGGGGATATGGTGGGAATTAAGGCAAAAAAGACAAGCAGATAAGATCTCACAAACAGAAATGAGTCAGAATGAAGTGAGACTTCTCAACAACAACCCTGAATGCTAGATGATATTTTAATGGAAAAGATTTTCCAATATAGAATTTTCAGACCAGCCAAATTATCATTTAAGTATGAAAGTAGAATAGGAATATTTTAATACACAAAAGGTCTCAAAAATTACACATGCACTGAATTCTTTATAGGAAACCGGAAAGAATGTGCTTCTCCAAAATGAGGGAGTAAACCAAAAAAGAGAAAGACATGGAATCCAGTGCACAAGAACCTCCCTTATGAGAGGAAGACATGAAGTACAGTAGACAAGACATCCATCAGAAAAAAGGAAGACATGGAATCCAGTAGACAAGACCAGACGTCTATCACAAGGGGAAGACAGGTAAACAAATAAGACCTTCATCATGGGAAGTGAAGAAAGGTCTCAGGAAGATAATCATGGGCAAACTTTGAGGGTACTTCTCTAAGGGGAAAAGCATCTTTGGCATCTGGCAGGATGTGTGGACAGGAAAGATGTGAATGTGGGTGTGTGTAATAAAAGTGTGAAATTTTCAGTAATAGAAAGCCCATAGATACCTAAATTTTTAATTAAGTTTTTTATTTTAATTCCAGTATGGTTAACACACAGTGTTATATTAGTTCCAGGTGTACAAGATAGTGATTCAACAATTCTGTATATTATATAGTGTTCATCTTGATAAGTTACCAATCACCCATCTCCTTACTCACCTCTCCTCTGGAAACAATCCATTTGTTCTCTATACTTAAGATTCTATTTCTTGGTTTGTCTCTCTCTCTAAATTCCACATATGAGGGAAATCATGGTATTTATCTTTCTCTGACTGACTTATTTCACTTAGCATATACTTTGTAGCTCTATCCACATTGTTGCAAATGGCAAGATTTCATTATTTTTATGGCTCAATAATTATATATGTGTATACACACACACACACACACCAACTTTTCTTTTTATTTTTTTTAAATGTTTTATTTATTTTTAGGAGAGAGAGAGAGAGAGACAGCTTGAGCAGGGGAGGGTCAGAGAGAGAGGGAGTCACAGACTGAAACAGGCTCCAGGCTCTGAACTGGCAGTCAGCACAGAGCCCGATGCGGGGCTCGAACCCACGAACCGTGAGATCATGACCCAAGTGAAAGTTGGACGCTTAACCAACTAAGCCACCCAGGCGCCCCTCACATCAACTTTTCTTTATCCATTCATCTATTGAGGGACATTTGGGCTGCTTCCATAATTTGGCCATTGTAAATAATGCTGCAATAAACGTAGAGGTGCATGTATCCCTTTGAATTAGTGTTTTCATATTTTGGGGGTAAATATCCAGTAGTGCAATTTCTAGATAGTAGGGTAGTTCTATTTTTAATTTTTTGAGGAACTTGCCGTTCTATTTTCCACAGTGGCTGCACCAGTTTGCATTCCCACCAACAATGTCTGAGGGTTCTTTTTTTTTTTTTTTTCCACATCCTCACCAACATTTGTTGTTTCTTGTGTTTTGGGGTTTTTTTTAATACTGGAAAGAGAGGGAGAGAGTGCAAATAGGGATGAGGCACAGAGAGAGGGAGAGAGAGTCTTAAGCAGGCCTCATGCCCAGCACAGAACCCCATGTGGGGCTTGATCTCATGACAATATCATGACCTGAGCCAAAATCAAGAGTTGGATGCCTAACCAACTAAGCTACCCAGGCACCTCTCTTGTGTTTTCTATTTTAGCCATTCTGACAGGTGTGAGATGGTATCTCATTGTAGTTTTGTTTTGCATTTCCCTGATGACAAGTAATGATGAGCATCTTTTCATGTGTCTGTTGGCCATCTGGATGTCTTCTTTGAAGAAATGTCTGTTCATGTCTTCTGCCCATTTTTTAATTGTAATTATTCATTTTGGGGGTGTTGAGTCATGTAAATTATTTAGATTTTTGAATACTAACACTGTATTGGTTATGTCATTTGCAAATATTATCTACCACTCAGTAGGTTGTCTTTAATTTTGTTCATTGTTTCTCTGGCTGTGCAGAAATTTATTTTGATCAAGTCCCAGTAGTTTAAGTTTTCTTTTATTTCTTTTGCATCAGGATACATACCTAGAAAAAGGATGCTATAGCCAGTGTCAGAGACATTACTGCCTATGTGGTCTTCTAGGATTTTTATGGTATCAAGTCTCACATTTAGGTCTTTTTTTTAAAGTTATTATTTATTTATTTTGAGAGAGAAACAGAGAGAGTGAGCAGGGGAGGGTCAGAAAGAGAAGGAGAGAGAAAATCCCAAGCAGGCTCCCCACTGTCAGCCTGAAGCCTGATGTGGGGCTCGAACTCACAAACCACGAGATCATGACCTGAGATGAAACCAAGAGTCAGACACTCAATCAACTGAGCCATCCAGGCACCCCCACATTTAAGTCTTTAATCCATGTTGAGTCTATTTTTGTGTATAGTATAGGAAAGTGGTCCAATTTCATTCTTTTGCATGTAACTGACCAGTTTTTCCAACACTGTTTGAAGGGACTATTTTTTCCCTTTGGATATTCTTTCTAACTTTGTCTAAGACTAATTGACCATATCATTGTGAGTTTATTTCTGGTTTTTCTATTTTGTTCTATTGACCTATGTGTCTATTTTGGCACCAGTGCTGTGTAATGTTTTGATTCCTATAGCTTTGTAATATAACTTGTAGTCTGGAACTGTGATACCTCCAGTTTTGTTTTTCTTTTTCAAGATTGCTTTGGCTATTCAAGGTCTTTTGTGGTTCCATATAAATTTTAGGACTGTTTGTTCCAGTTCTGTGGAACAAATCCAGTTACTGTATTTTGATGGGGATTGCATTGAATCTGTAGACTGCTTTGGATAGTATAGACAGTTTAACAATATTTGTTCTCTCAATCCATGAGCATAAAATGTCTTTCTTTGTGTTGTCTTCACTTTCTCTCATCAATGTTTTATAATTTTCAGAGTACAAGTCTTTCACCTCTTTGGTTAAGTTTATTCCTATGTACTTGTCTATTTTTGGTGCAGTTGTAAACGGAATTATTTTCTTCATTTCTCTTTCTGCTGCTTTATGATTAGTGTATAGAAATGCAACAGGTTTCTGTACATTGATTTGTATCCTGTGACTTTACTAAATTCATGTATCAATTCTAGTGGTTTTTTGGTTTTCTATATATAGTATCACGTCATTGGCAAATAGTGAAAGTTTTACTTCTTCCTTACCAATTTGGATGCCTTTTTTTCTTTTCATGGTCTGAATGCTGTGGCTAGGACTTCCAGTACAGTGTTGAATAAAAGTGGTGAGCATAGACATCTTGTCTTCTTCCTGACCTTAGGGAGAAAGCTCTCAGTTTTTCCCCATTGAGTCTGATGTCAGCTGTGGGTTCTTCATGTAAGGCCTTTATTATGTTGAGATATGCTCCCTCTAAACCTATTTCACATGAATGCATGTTGTACTTTGTCAAATGCTTTTTCTGTATATATTGAAATGATCATATGGTTTTAATCCTTTCTTTTATGGATGTGATATATCATGTTGATTTGTGAATATTGAACCACATTTGCAACCTGGAAATAAATTCTTGATTGTGGTGAATGATTTTTTTTAACGTATTATTGGATTCCATGTGCTAATATTTTGTTGATGATTTTTGCATCTATGTTCATCAGCGATATTGGCCTTTTTTGTGGTATCTTTATCTGGTTTTGCTATCAGGAAAAGCTGGCTTTGTAGAATGAATTTGCAAGTTTTCCTCCCTTTCTATTTTTTAGAATAGTTTGAGAATAACTATTAGCTGTTCTTTAAATGTTTGGTAGAATTGGCCTGTGAAGCTGTCTGGTCTTAGACTTTTGTTTGTTGGAAAATTTTTTAATTGAGTAGCAACTTAAGCATTTTACGTAGAAATATGGAGGAAGATATGAAGATAATCAACAAGAGTGAAAACTGTAGCCTGCAAGGAGAAGGAAATTGTGATGGACAGGAGACTGAGCCACACTCTTTATTTTGCTATGGGCATTTTAAACTGTGACTTAAAACATTTAGTGACAGGATATAAAAAGAAACAATCATTGCAAAAGGAAAAGGAAGGAAGGCTTAGGTGAAAAGTTTAGGCAGAGGGGTGCCTGGGTGGCTCAGTCAGCTAAGCATCTGACTTTGGCTCAGATCATGATCTCGCAGTTTGTGAGTTCAAGCCCCACATCAGGCTGTCTGCTGTCAGCATGGAGTCCCCTTCAGATCCTGTCTCCTTCTCTTTCTGCAACTCCCTGGCTCATGCTTTCTCTGTCTCAAAAATAAATAAAAACATCAAAAAATTTTTTAAAAAGTTTAGGCAGAAATGTAAAATATGATTGCAAAGGATAGAGAGTGAATGGCTTCTGTTGGTTGTAGCTGGTTGTATAGCAGAAGGTGCTTGAATGCCATCTAAGGAAGGCAAGCTTTATCATGGAAGAAATAGGATTTGAAGAGTTGCAGTGTGGGCATGATATAATCAGATTAATCCTTGGAAAAATGGAACTTTCCATAGGGCAGGACAGAGCATGGTTTGGAGATGTAATAACTAGGGGCAGGAAGACCAGTTAGAAAGTTTTTCACAAAGTAATCAAGTCAGAATGGAAGGCTGGAACCAGAGTGGTGGTGAAGAGAAGCAGAAAAACTGTGGTGAAACTGAGAAGAAAGGCTTGGTGAATTGGCTATTGTGGGAGGAAGGAAACCGAGAAGACTCTGATTTGAGCAGCAGGGAGATCCCAGTGGCAGCCCATTTCCATAGGAATTTCCCCAGTTCATTAGTTCTTTGGAATAAAATCACATTGGCACAATTCCTCTCATCCCGCCCCATCTGGCACCCCACTCTTCAGACTATCCAGCACGTGGGCCAGATCTCCTATCACAAATTTTATTAAAGGCTTAATTAACACAAAAGCATTACATATTAATTTCATAGCTGGTATATGGGACTGAAAAGCCCCTGGAACTCCACCAAGTTCCTGGTCTTCTGAGCTTAGATGAAGATTTTGGAAAGTTTTCAAAATCTTTTTGTTTTTGTTGATTTCATTATTTATTTTCACTACTACAATATGCCTTCCCTGGTGTTCCCAGTAAGAATACTGTGTGCTGGCAATGTGCCAGGCATTTGACTTACTTTTTCCCCTTCTATTTTTTATTGTCCTATTTACAAATGAGGAGCTGAGGCTCAGGAATATTAAAGAACCTGTGGTCAATACATCACTTAGCTGATAAATCCAGAGCTGAGATCCAACTCACTCTTGCTGTGGATCCAAAGCTTGGTCCCCAAGACACTACAGGCCTGTGTGCCCCCAATGTAAGTAGCCCACTCTGCCTTCCTGAAATGAACAGCCTCCCAATAGTCAATGCCCACCTTCAGCCTTATGCAAGCTACTTCACCTGCTCTCAGAATGGTATTTAGAGACCAAGACCAAGATCTGGGGACTGGTTTTACTAATTGCTATTGAGATGTCACTACTCCCAAGTTCTTTCAGGAGACATTTCTAATCAATACATGTGTGCACATATGTATATATGTACATGTATATGTGAATACATATATTTGAATATATGTATATTTATATACTGATCTTTCTATATTAAAAACCATGAGTTTATCTCAATACCTCCAATTCTGATTCACCACAAATTTTGTGCTAGTTTTTTTTTTTTTTTTTAAAAAGAGAGAGAGAGCATGCACATGAGCAAAGGAGGAGGCAGAGGGCGAGAGAGAATCTCAAGCAGGCTCTATACTCAACATAGAGCCCAACATGGGGCTTGACCCCATGACCCTGGGGTCATGACCTAAGCCAAAATCAAGAGTCAGATGCTTAACCAACTGAGCCACCCAGGTGCCTCTCTACCTTTCTATACTTTTAATCCATTCCCTAATCGTAATAAACCTGGCCCTTATTATCCTTAACATTTTATCAGTATTCCTGAATATAATCAATCTCCCATTACAATGCTCCACTATCCTCTCCCCTATGCAGATACCCTCCTCATCTCATTTGTTTACCAATACTCTATTCCAGGCTACTCTACCCTCAATGTGAAATCCCTCTCATGCATTTGGGCTCTCAGGTGCACTTAGCTGCCCCTGGCATAAATACCCTTCATTGCCCATTCAGGTTCTTACTCCCTACACCAGGTTGCTCCCATGTGTGGGTGCCTTCCTTCCTTTTTTAGGCTCCAGCACCCAATTCTGAACCATCTGCATGCATGGATATTCTCCTAACTTCTATGGGTTCTAACCTTTCACATTTGGCCACCCGTGAGTAGATGTCCTTCTCACCTGATTCAGGCTCTGATGTCCCATGCTTGTGAGTCATTTTTTTTTTAAACATTCTTAGGACTCACCTGAAGTACCTGCGAGATCTTATGTGTAAAAGAAACAGAGGTAAGCTTGAGATAAACTTTCTTACCAAGTACCAGGTTTAAAAGCCACAAGTATGGCAAATAAATAAAAATTAAAAATAAGTTGTACACCTGAAGTCAACTATACTCAAATAAAAAAAATATATTATTAAAAAAAGCAGCAAGGGTGGCATATTAAAAATCAAGTGACAGGAGCGCCTAGGTGGCTCAGTTGGTTGGGCGTCCAACTTCAGCTCAGATCATGATCCCACAGTTTGTGGGTTCAAGCCCCATGTTGTGCTCTGTGCTGACAGCTAGCTAAGAGCCTGGAGCCTGTTTCGGATTCTGTGTCTCCCTCTCCCTCTGACCCTCCCCAGCTCGCTTGCTCTCTCTCTCTCTTTCTCAGAAATAAATAAAAACATTAAAAAAAAATTTTTTTACCAGACACTATTTTCCATTTATTGTCTTAATTGTTGTCTTTTTTTTTTTTTACAAATAGTTTATTGTCAAGTTGGTTAAAAAAATTTTTTAAACTGAAGTGACATATGGAAAAATTAGATAAATTGGACTTCAAAAATTTTAAATTTGTGCTTCAAAGGACACTATCAAGAAACTGAAAAGATAACCACAGAATGGAGGAAATTGCTTATATATTATATATATTTGAATAAATTTTCTTCCAATAAAGATGTACAAATGGCCACCAAGTTTATGAAAAGATACTCAACATCATTAGCCATTAGGGAAATACAAGTCAAAACCATGAGATACCACCTAACACCTACTAGTATGACTGTAATATTTTAAAAGACAGATAATAAAAAGATCAGGCTAAGATGTAGAGAAATTGGAACTTTGGTGAAAGTGATATAGCTGCTTAGGAAAACAGTCTGGCAGTTCCTCAAAAAGTTAAACAGTGTTTTATTTGACCCAGAAATTCCACCCTTAAATATATACTCAAGAAAAACAAAAATATATGTCCACCTAAAAATGGTACCCAAAGCTAGAAATAACCAAAACATCCATCAATGAGTGAATGGGATAAACAAAAAAGTGAAATATCCATACAGTGGAATACTATTCAACCATAAAAAAAGAAATTAAGTACTAATACATGCAACAACATAGGTGAACCTTAAAAACATTATGCTAAATGAAAAATGCCAGTCACAAAAGATCACATATTATATAATTTTATTTATATTAAATGTCCAGAATACAAAAATCTGTAGAGACAAAAAATAGTTAGTGTTTGCCTAAGGCTGGTGGGGATGGGGGAATTAAGGGAGATGAGATGATAGCTAAAGGATACAGAGTTTTCTGGGGTACCTGGGTAGCTCAGTTGGTTAAGCATGGGACTCTGGGTTTTGGCTTAATTTATGATCTCATGGTTCATGAGCTTGAACCCCATGTCAGACTCTGCACTGACAGCACAGAGCCTGCTTGGGATTCTCTCTCTCCCTCTCTCTGTCCCTATCCCACTCACACTCTCTCAAAATAAAGAAATGAACTTAAAAAATAATAAAGTAAAGTTCATGGTGATGATGGTCACACAACTCTGTGAATTACAAAAAACTATTGAATTGTGCATTGTAAATGAGTGAATTTTATGGTATGAACTATATCTGAATAAAGTCATTTTTTAAAAAAGCTCCCTATATGATGAGGAGGTGAGGAAGAGGCTTTACCAATTTCCATTTACTCTTCCTACACAACCCTGTCTTTCATATACCCAGCCATCCTTGAATTCAAGTCAGTGTCCTCCCCAGGGGCTAATCACCAGGTCTCTGCAATGGCCTCTGTTTTCTGCAATGTTTTTATATATGTTTTCTTGTCAAAATAAACAATAAAGGGAAAGGAAAAGGAAAAGATATAATAAATATCTATTATTTTCCTCTACCACAAACTTCCTCTTCCTCTCCTTTTTTATTTCAGAGCCCTGTGTTTCCTTGGGAAACTGTCCCACCCCACTTTTAGTACTCATCATTTGAGTGCACCTGAACCCACTCCGAATTCCAGGAAGGATCACATGACATTGGCTTACACTGATCAACATAAGTACCACCAGTCTGGCTACAGTGATTGGTGCAAGAAGAAAGAAGGAATCAAGTTAACCCAAACAACATATAGCCCAGAACCTTTGGGAGAGTTTATAGCAAAAGAAGTTATTTCCATCTTGGGCCTGTGAAGACATAATGAAACTCCAGAGAACAGGAGATGGGGCACATCTGACCCAATGAACAGAACCAAGCAGGAGATGAAGCAAGATAGCTTCCTAAAACCTATTCCAAGCATCTGAATTCAGCCATGCTAGAAGTGACATCTACTTATGGATTTTAAATCTACAAGAGTTAATAATTCCCCCTCCTCTTTCTGTTTTGTTGTTTTGTTTAATTCTGTTTGAACTGAGCTATCTATAATGTGTGAATGAAAGAATACTCCCAGATACAGACATATACCAAAGATCAACTATAATAGGAAGGAAGATGTCCACATGGAAAACAGGGTAATCGTAGATTGAGCCCTATGTTTAGTAGATAACAGGTTTTATCTTTTTTTGACCATCTACTTTATGGACCTGAGAATACCAAGGCTCATGGTCACACTTAGTCAATGAAAGAGCCATGACTTAAACTCTGGTCTTCTGACTCCAAACTCTATTCCCTTTATGACACTCTGCTACAAAATTACCGCACATAACTACGTAATATAAAACAATGTATATGTGTATATATTTATATATTTATACCTACCTCAGCTATGTCCTCCAAACTCTGAGACAGCAGTATAAGGGAGAGTCAGATAGGAGTCTGTCAATGGCAACCTCCCAAATATCTTCCATGTGACCCTTCTATACCCACCGTCACTGTCTATGTTTAGCTCTCTCACCTTCCAAGTTCCTTGCTGAAAAAAATGCTACAGTTTCTTCTCTTAATACATATTTTTATCTTTCATATTTATGCTCTTAAATAATCTTTAGTTTACCTTTGTACATGATATTAGGAAGAGATCGAGTTTTATTGTTTCCACATGGCAACCTAGTTTCTTATCGTTTTGTTAACAACATCCAGTACTTATTATTGCATCTTTGTAATATGCCCTAATATCTGATAAAGCAAGACCTACTTTTTATTCTACTTTTCCAAGGTTGACTTAGCTATTTATGGACCTTTACTCTTCTCTATGAGTAAGTTTATCAAGTTCCTGTACATTTTTAACCAAAATTTTGATGGAGTCTGCACTGAATTTATAGACTAATTTGGGAAAGTTAATATCTTTATAATAAGTTATCCCAGAAGCACCTGAGTGGCTCAGTCAGTTAAGTGTCTGACTCTTGGTGTTGGCTCAGGCATGATCTCACAGTTTGTGAATTAGAGCCCCACGTCAGACACTGTTGTCAGCCCAGAGCCCACTTCAGATCCTCTGTCCCCATCACTCTCTGCCCCTCCCCCACTCATGCTCTCTCAAAAAATGAAAAAAAAAATGATAAGTTATCCCACCCAAATGCACGGAATATCTTCTCACTTGTTCAGATCATCCTCTGGTCCTAGCTCCTTTATTACAGTTTGATATTTTTCTCCATAAGTATATTGATGCAAATTAAATGGTATCTTTTCTTATTTTTTTCTAATTTATTGTCTTTGATGTAGAGAAATGAAACTAATTTGTATATGTTGTGTTGGTATCAGAAACGTTGTTCAACTCTTATGCTGATGAGTTGATGATTTCATTCTGTTGGTTGTTCTTTATAGATGATTATATTATCTGGAAAAATATTACAGATCTACCTCTTCTCTTATATCCCATCAGCTTTTTTTTTCTTTCCTAATACCATTGATCAAGACAGCAATATCATCAGTAATATTAGACACTGTTTTCCTTTCCCTGATCTCAAAGAAATATAATTAAGATTTCTCCATTTATTTTCATGTTCACTGCTAAGTAATATTTACTACATATTAATTATACTTTAAAACTTGGGTAGAAATCTGAACACCTGCCTGGTTCATTTGGGAGAGCATGCAACTCTTGATTTCAGGTTCATGAATTCAAGCCCCATGTTGGTTAAAAAAAAAAAAAAAAAAAGTTAGTACTCAAAAAAAATAACAAACTTGGGTAGAAATTATCTGTATAACCATGCAGACCTTGGATTTCATTATGTTTTGTTTAATCCTTATTGATCTTTTCCAGTTCCCTCATTCTTCTCGCATTATTTTCGCAGTTCTGTGTATCTTGGGTTTTATTTCATTTAATTTAAATTTATTTTATTTTAAGTTCATTTATTCATGGGAGGGAGAACCAGTGGGAGAGGTAGAGAGAGAGGGAGACATAGGATCTGAAGTGGGCTCTGTGCTAACAGCAGAGAGCCATGTGTGGGTCTGGAACTCATGAAACATGAGATCATGACCTGAGCCGAAGTTGGACGCTTAACTAAGTCCTTCATTTAGGTTTTAAAATGTATTTACCTATAGGAGTGCTTGGGTAGCTCAGTTGGTTAAGCGTCTGGTTCTTGAATTTGGCTTGGATCATGATCTCATAGTTCATGGGTTCGAACCCTGGGTCAGGCTCTGTGCTGGCAGTAGAGACTGCTTGGGATTCTCTCTCTCCCTCTTTCTCTGCCCCTCCCTCACTAACTCTCTCTCTCTCTCTCTCTCTCTCTCAATCTCAAAAATAAATAAATGAAAGCTTTAAAAATGTATGTATATATACTTATTCATAATATTCTTTTATTAAGTTTTATTTTCTGTTGAGACTGTGGTTAATTCCCCCCTGTTCATAGTGTTATTTATTTGTATTCTCTCTCTCTCTCTCTCAGTCTTGCCAGGGATTGCATCTCATCCAATATTTCATTACTATTTTCTATCTTTTAAAAAATATTATTGCTTTTATTTATTTATTATTTATTTTTATTATTTGCTTCCTTCTTGTTTCTTTGGATATTACTATTTTTTCAAATACCATAATTAAATGCTTGGCTGCTTTGTTTTAAAACTATTCTGTTTCTTAATACATATATGTAAATTATAATTTATTTCTCTAACAACTGCTTGGGGCACCTGAGTAGCTCAGTCGGTTAAGCGTCCAACTTTGGCTCAGGTCACTATCTCACGGTGCGTGGGTTCGAATCCCTCTGTGCTGACAGCTCAGAGACTGGAGTCTGCTTCAGATTCTGTGTCTCCCTCTCTGCTCCTTCCCTGCTCATGTTCTGTCTCTGTCTCAAAAATAAATAAACATTAGAAAGAAAGAAAGAAAGAAAGAAAGAAAGAAAGAAAGAAAGAAAGAAAGAAAGAAAGAGAACTGCTTTAGCTGTGATCCAAAAGTGCTTACATGTAGTATTTTCATTATCATTAAAAAAAAATTTTAATGTTTATTTATTTTTGAGAGAGATAGAAAGGGAGAGAGACACAGCACGAGCATGGGAGGGGCAGAGAGGGAGAGATGGAGACAGAATCCCAAGCAGACTCCAGGCTCTGAGCTGTCAGCACAGAGCCTGATGCAGGGCTCGAATTCATGAATCATGGGATCATGACCTGAACCGAAGTCAGATGCTTAACCAACTGAGCCATCCAGGCGCCCTTCATTGTCATTTATTTCTAAGTACTAAATTACTCTGCACTTTCCTTTTTAATATAAAGGTTATTTAGAAATATGTAACTTAATTTTCAAATATGTGAAATTGTATCTATCTTTTTATAATTAAATCTTAACTTCATTGCAATATGCTTAGACAAAACTCTACTCAGAAATCACCCTAATGGGCAGTGGGAAAGGAAAATCCTCTCAATAGGATTGTCTACTGCACTAAACTCAATAGTGTCCTACCCCTAAGTACATGTCCACCCAGAACCTGTGAATGTGATCTTTTTTGGAAATAGCATCATTGCAGATGTAATCAAGTTAAGATGAGCTCATATTGGACTAAGGTAGACCCTAAACCAGTAAATGGTATCCTTATAAGAAGAGGGAAATATGGACATGAATACACAGGAAAAATGCCACGTGGACCACAGAGGCAGAGATTGGGGTGATACGTTTGTAAGTCAAGGAACACCAAGAATTCCCAGCAGCCATCAGAAGCTAGGAAGAGGAGAGAAATAATCTACCCCTAGAACCTTCAAAGAGAGCATGGCCCTACTAACACTCAGATTTCAGACTTTTAGCATCCAGAACTATGAGACCATAAACTTTTGTTGTTCTAAGCCACCTCATTTGTGGCTTAGAAATGAGAAAATTAATATATCTACCTTGTCTGATGTGAGAAGACAAATTATGTACCTATACTTACTCGTGTGGTTGCTAACAATTTGATTGGATGGTTAGGGAAGTACACAGATTGAAAGATTGGTGACAAAAAAGTACAGAGAAGAAGAATGTTGGTGGTGGTCTTGGAAAGAACACAGACTGCAAATATGTTTTTGTCTGTGTGAATGATCACCAAAAGAGACTCACTACAGAGAAGGCTCTTAATAATCTGGCATGCTCTGCAGATGTCAGACAACCTCTTTCCCCAGACACCCAGTGCTTGTTCAATGGGCCCATGAACAAAATGACTATGGCAGGGATGGAAGCTAGCCATAGACTCTGCTACATGGACTTCTCATTATCAAGGCTGACCTGGCTAATGCTATTACTGAGTGCCTTATCTGCCAACAGCAGAGACCAGCACTGGCCTCCTGATAAGGCACCATTGCCCAGCCACCTGTAATAAGTTGATCACATTGGAAACCTTCCATTGTTGAGAGAGCAGGAATTCTCCCTCACTATAATAGACACATATAGATGCCTTCTCTACCCATAATTCTGCCAGGACTTCCATCAATAGACTCACAGAATGTTTTATTCACTGTTATGGTATTCTGCACAGCCCTGCGTCTGATCAAGAAACCCATTTCATACCAATAGAAATGCAGCAGTGAACTTAAGCCTATAGAACTAAGTGGTCTTACCACATAAAGTGGCTACTTTAACTTAATGGTGGAATTGCTTACTGAAAACTCAGATATGATGCCAGATGTGAGACAACATCTTCAAAGACAGGGTTCTGTCCTGAAAACTGCAGTGTATACATTGAATCAGAGGTCATTATATAGTGCTGTCTCCTCCACAGCCAGAATATGTGGCTTCAGGAATCAAGGGATGTAGGTGGCAGTGGCTCCCCTCACTATTATATCACCTAACTTACTCACAAAATTTTTGCTTCCCGTCCAGGCAGCTCTGAGATTTGCTGCTTTTAAAGATCTTTGTTCCAAAGGAAGGAATGCTTCCAGCAGGGGACACAACAGTGCATGCTCTCAATTGGAAGGTAAGGTTGCCACCTGGCTCTCTTAGACTTCTTATGTCACAAAACCAATAGGCAGTAAAAGGAGT